ATGTGTGTGTGTGTGTGTGTTATTGTATAATATTGTAAAAAATATCACCTTTCTATCTTATTTCAAGACACTCAAAGTGCTTTACACTACAACCTGTGTCCTCATTTACCCATTCATACAGCACTCTACTAGATCTCTACAAAGCTAATTGAACAAATCATTCTAAAGAGACTAATCGGTGCTTTAGATCACATTCATACACTAATGGGACACACATCAGAGGCTATGAGGGGTTCAGTGTCTTGCCCAGGAACACTTCGACATGTGACTGCTGGTGGATTTGAACCCCCAACTCGCATTGGAGGATGACTGCTCTAACCACTCAGCCACAGCTGACTTGTTTATCATAACTTTCAGTTGATAAACAAGCTTTACTTATTCACATAATGCTCACATTCATAAAAAAACATTGTCTTTTTGTCTTCTGTCCTCTATGTGTCCCTCGCTGCTTGGACTTTTCTCGCAAATGCCCCCAGAGTGCACATCCAAACTCTCACTGACTTCCATCCAAACTGTGGATTTGCTCGCAAAAGCATAAAGAAATGGTCTTTTCAACTCAACGTATCTCCTACATTGACATTGTTAATACTCATATTTTGACATAATAAGAAGAAACTTGTCATTTACAATTTTTATTTTAACCAGGACTTTCGGTTTTTGCGCAGCGACTGTTTGTTAAGGCTTAATTTCTACTCAGCATTTATGTCTGCCTGTCTTATTAAGAGTATGGAATGACAGGTGTGTTGTATCAGCAGGTGTTCATGCAGAATCGTTTCAAAAACATTCAAATTTGTGATGCAAATAACATTTTCATAAAGCCTGTCATCTCTGGGATTCAAACCGACAACCCAAACCCTGACTGAATCAAACTGCACAACCTGAAACTTCAGATGTTCTGCAGAACACTTTGATCCAACTCACCGTATGAGCACGGACACCCCCACATCCTCGCAGTTCTTGTAGACGTGCCCCCATGTGTCCTGGATGATCTCCCTCTCAGCATCAGACAGTGGCTCCGCTCGCTCCGGCCGCTCCTCCTCACACTCCCCCCTCTGCCCTCCCAGCAGCTGTGGAGGTGGCGGTGGAGACTCCCTGCGAGACATCCTCCTGCGGCGCAGCAGCCTGGAGGCTCCCAGCAGCGCCCGGGGAAGATAGGGAGACAGGGAGGGGGGGAGGGAGATGGAGAGCTGAGACCCCACGGCGGAGCTGGGAGGAGAGTCGGGAGGAGAAGAGTAGCAGAGGAGACCAGGAGGAGGAGAAGAGGGGAAGAAGACAGGAGCCAGGCAGTGCTCTCAGGCAAGAAAGGAAAGAGGGAGAAAGATCTTCCAGCTCTGACTCCCAACTCCCCCTCACTGCTCCCAACTTCTTCTTCCTCACTTATTCTGCAGACCCTCTTCTCCCCCACCTCCTGCTCCTCTCTCCTTGTGTCCCTCGGTGAGGGAGATGGCTGTCAGCGATGCTGATGTTGCTCTCCCGTCACTTCTCCTCTCCTCCTGATCCTCTCGCTGAAGGAAATGAGAGGCTGAGCGTTGGGAGGTCCTGATGGAATGAGAGCAGGGTCGAGAAGAAAACACAGTGAGACAGAGGGGTGGAGAAAACTGCAAATGAAAAAGGAGAGGAGAGAGGGAGTGTTGAGGGTCTCAGACATCACTCTCCCAACAGACAATAATACGCCTGAGCTGACAAATACAGCCGCTGGACATTATTCTACATATGCAGATCTGTTTGTTGTTGAAACATGAGAAGCAACACAAGAACTTTAGAGGTTGAAGCTGGAGTAAGATACTGTACATTTTTATAACAATCTGTGAGGATTCTGATTTCAACAAGATGGGTGATGAAACATTGCTGTCCTTTTTGCACATTTAACCTCCTGCAGCCCTGCCAGATAATACAAACATGAGCCAGTGTGTAAAATATAACAATACACTTAAAAGTTCATGCTCAATAATCTAGGTAGAAAATCCAACAATGTTCAGTCAGGTCATCTGGACATTTTTTTTTCATCCATCCATCCATCATCTTCTGCTTGTTCTGAAATTGGGACTCGGGGGGGCAGCATCTTGAGCAGGGAGGTCCTGACATTTCTTTCCACAGCCACCTCTTCCAGTTCTTCTGAGAGAACTCCAAGGCATTCCCAGACCAACTGAGAGACATCGGCTCTCCAGCGTGTCCTGGGTCTTCCCTGGTCTCCTCCCAGTTGGACATGCCCGAGCCACCTCAACTGGCTCCTCTTGATATGGAGGAGCAGCGGGTCTACTCCGAGTCTCTCCTGATAACTGAACTTCTCACCCTATCTCTAAGGGAGAGTCCAGCCACCCTGCAGAGGAAACTCATTTCACCCACCTGTATCAGCGACCTTGTTCTTTCAGTCACTACCTAAATTGTGGGAGAGCAGGAATGTAGACCAACCAGTAAACAGAGAGCTTTGCTGTACAGCTCAGCTCCTTCACCACAACGGAACGGTACAGAGTCCACAATACTGCAGATGCTGCACCAATCCGTCTGTCAATCTCACACTCCATTCTTCCCTCACTCATGAACTAAATTCCAAAATACTTGAACTCCTCCACTTGAGGCAAAACCTCACCCTCCACCTGAAGAGAACAATTCATCATGTTTTCACCGAGGACCACAGCCTCAGATTTGGAGGTGCCGATTCTCATCCTAGCCGCTTCACCCTCGGCTGCGAACCGCTCCAGTGAGAGCTGAAGAGTAGGGTCGATACCATGGTCAGATAAAGCAGACAAATTCAGATAGAGATAAGGCAAGGTGAGGAGTCAAGAAAACAAGGCTGAGGTTTGTGGTCAAGAGTCAGAACAAGGAATGCTGGATATCTACTGGCGAAAGGCTTTCAATAATCTGGCACTGAGTGAGAGTAGAGCTGGGCTTATGAAGGGAGCAGAGCAGGTGTAACTGATTAGAGCTGATTGCTGTGACTGAGTAGAGGAGGTGTGGTGCAGGGAAACATGAGCTGAGGAAGGGTGACAGGCATTCCTGGATAGAATCATGAAAACTAAAACAAAACTGTGGAGGAAAAGGGCAAAAACATGACAGGACCCCCTCTTCAAGGTCCAGCTCCTGACGGACCTCCAGGCTGGTCAGGGTGGTTTCTGTGAAAATCCCTAATGAGGGTTTTGTCCAAAACATGACGGGCAGGGACCCAGGTGCGTTCCTCAGGCCCATAACCCTCCCAATCTACCAGGTAGTGGAGACGACGACCCCACCATCTGGAGCAGAGAAGTCTCCTGACAGTGTAGGCCGGGGCACCGTCAATGTCAGGCAGGAGGGGGGGGGGACTGGAGGAGGGCTTGAAGCGGGCTGCAAAAAGGGCTTGAGATGGGAGACATGGAAGGCCGGGTGGACTTTAAGGGAGCAGGGGAGCTGGAGATGGGCTGCTACAGGGTTAATAATTTTGCTTATGGGGAAGAGTCCAATGAAGTGAGGAGCCAATTTGTGGGACTCCACCCATAGGGGAAGATCCTTTGTGGAGAGCCAGACCTTCTGACCCACCTGATATGAAGGCTGAGCAGAACGCCGCCTGTTGGCCCCTCTCACGTAAACTGCTGATGACTTGAGAGCCCTCCTGGCTCTTCTCCAGATGCATTGACACCTCAAGGCAGCTCTGTGGGCTGACGGTACCTGGGCTTCGCTCTCCTGAACAGAGAACAGTGGAGGCTGATAACCAAAAACAACATAAAAGGGGACAGACCTGAAGCAGACGAGGGTAAGGAATTGATTGCGTGTTCAACCCAGGGAAGGTTGGCTGACCACTTGCCAGGATCTCCCTCACACAGCAGATGAAGCTTGGTCTCTACCTCCTGATTGACCCTCTCAGTTTGGCCGTCAGACTGAGGATAGAAACCTGAGGACAGACTAGTAGAAACACCCAGGAGGCTGCAAAACTCCCTCCAAAATTTAGAAAGGAACTGTGGGCCTAGATCAGAAACAATGTCCTAGGGGAGACCGTGCAGCCTAAAAATGTCTTTGGCCATAATATTACTACGCTCCTTGGCAAAAGGAAGCTTAGTGAGGGGGATGAGGTGAACCATCTTAGAAAACCAGTCCACCACAGTGAGAATGACCATGTGACCATAGGAGGGGGGAAGACCAGTGATAAAATCCATGGAAATGTGAGACCAGGGGTGAGATGGAATAGGAAGTGGATGGAGTAAACCTGCAGGAGGGCAACAGGCAGACTTGGCCTAATTACAAGATGGGCAGGAAGTGACGTACTGTTTTATGTCCTTGGCCAAATCCTTCCACCAAAACTGGGACTTGACTATAGTGAGGGTCTTATTAATTCCTGGGTGACAAAACAAGTGAGAGGCGTGGCAAAGTTTGAGTACCTCCTTGACCTTGTTGACTGGAACAAACACTCGGTTCTTGGGACAGTCAGGCGGTGGGAGATGACCCTGATTGGCCCGTCGGTGGTCCGTTTCCAACTGGGTCATGGACAGGCGCACGGTATCCGGCAGGATGAATTCAACCTCCATGTTGGTCTGAGGAGAACCACTCTCCTCCATGATACGGAATAAAGCGTCAGGCTTGATATTTTTAATGACGGGTCTGTAGGATAAAACAAAGTCAAATCAGCAGAAAAACAAGGCCCACCTGGCTTGCCTGGGGTTGAGACGCTTGGCAGTCTTTAGGTACTCGAGGTTCTTGTGGTCGGTCCAAACTTGGAATGGTTCCTTGGCACCCTCAAGCTAATGTCTCCATTCTTCGAGAGCCATCTTGACGGCCAGTAATTCCCGTTCCCCAACATCATAATTACGCTCAGCAGTGGAGAGGCTCCTAGAAATGAAAGCACATGGGCACATGGGTGGACTCTCTCCTCACTGCTGCGCTGACTAAGGACCGCCCCCACTCCAGTACTGGAGGCGTCAACCTCCTCAATGAAGGGTTTGTTGGGATCAGGGGTCTGAAGGATGGGAGCTGGGGAGAACAAAAGTTTTAATTTCTTAAAAGCAAGGTCAGCAGCCTCATTCCAAGCAAACTTATAGTCTTGACGGAAGTCAAAGCATGAAGAGGACCAGAGATGATACTGTAGTTTTTAATGAATCTCCTGTAGAAATTTGCAAAGCCCAGAAATCTTTGTAACTGCTTACGGTCCCTGGGAATGGGCCATTCCAAAACTGCAGACACCTTACTAGTGTCCATGGAAACCTGATTGGGAGAGATTATAAAACCAAGGAAGGAGGTGGAGGACTGATGGAATTCACACTTCTCCGCCTTGACATACAGGTTGTTTTGAAGAAGCCTGACTAGGACTGATCTGACATGTTTGTGATGGGTGGCAAAGTCTTTGGAGAAAATAAGAATGTCATCTAGATAGACAAAGACAAAATGATTGACCATGTCCCTAAGGACATTATTTACAAGGGCCTGGAACAAAGCAGGTGCATTAGTTAGGCCAAAAGGCATTACCAGGTACTCATAGTGTCCATTTGGGGTGTTGAATGCCGTTTTCCATTCATCCCCTTCTCTTATGCGGACCAGGTGATAAGAGTTTCTTAAATCCAACTTTGTGAAAATTGTAGCTCCTTGGATTAAGTCAAATGCTGAGGACATGAGAGGCAAGGGATATTTGTTCTTTATAGTAATCTTGTTGAGAGCTCTGTATTCAATGCATGGTCTAAGAGTGCCATCTTTTTTGCCCACAAAAAAGAATCCTGCACCAGCAGGTGATGCTGAAGGCCTGATAATGCCAGCTTGGAGTGACTTCTTAATGTAATTTTGCATGGTGGACTGTTCAGGACCAGACATTGAATAAAGACTGCCCCTAGGGGGTGTAGTAACAGGTATGAGATCAATGACACAATCATAGGGCCTGTGAGGTGGGAGTGAAGTTGCCTTTACATTATTAAATACCTCCTTGGGGCCATGGTATTCAGTGGGTACTTTTGAGAGCTCTGGATATGTCTCCTCAATATTTTCAGGACTGACAGATGGTAAAACTGCCTCAAGCAAACAGGAGGAAAGACATTCCTCAGACCAACCCACAATCTCTTTGCCCCTCCAATTTATGTGAGGATTGTTTTTAAAGAGTCAAGAGGTACCAAGAACAATAGGGAGTTGAGGTGAATTAATAATAATAAACCTGATACACTCCTTGTGATTGGAGTGTTGGTGGGAAGGCCAGCATGTTTTACATTAAAGAAAGTCTTTGACTCACCCCAGGGTGTAGGCATTCTCACCAATCTGCC